TGAAGTATGGTAATGCATATTTGGCGTGCTGTCCGGGGAAGGGCTCCGAGCTTGGGAATGGCCCGAACCTAGAGTACCCCCCCAAAAAGCAACTGAGCAAAGGACAGCCGCCAGATTAAGAACCCCCCCCAAAATAAGCACTGAGAACTGGCGGGGGCTGAAGTTTTGAGAAGTTGCCTGGTTGGCAAGCCGGAAGAGCCTACGTACTCAGGTGGGAGCGACTTATGCGTTGGAAGGGTAGGCCCTACCGGCTGCTGGTATTGGACTACGTGGTTTGGGGCGGCCGGTCGGGAGGGCTTGAGCCGATGCTCAACGGGAGCTCACAGCGTTGGAACGGGTGAGCCCTACCGGCCGATGGGGGAGGAGCAGCGTGCATTGTGTAGCCCTACCAGGAGGGCCCGAGTTGCCTCGAGTGGAATAGCTCGCGGTGTCGGCGTACGGGCCCTACTGGCTGACAGGCCCCTGCTAATCAGTGGGCAGAGGGCAAAATGGCTGACCGAGAGGGCCCATGAAGCCTCCGACTGGAGATCAAGACTCAGGACGACGGACGTGTGGGTCCTCTCGGTTTGGCAGATAAAAAGGCTTTGGGCCGTCCAGCAAGGAGGACTCTTGCGACATTCGACGGGAGATCAAGACTCACGGCATTGGATGGATAAGTCTCGCTTGCGGGCGGCAAGTATAGAAGCTGAACCGGGAGTACTCTCACCGACATCTGACGGAAGATCAAAACTCATTGCATCAGACATGTAAGCCTCGCCGGGCAGGGAGAGAGAAAAGGAAAACCCGACTGGGAGGGCTCTTGCAGCATCCGATGGGGTATCAGACTCAGAACATCGAACGGGTAAGCCTCGCCAGGCGGGGGGAAAAGACTTGAGGTTAAGCAGGTGGTCGAGACTCATGACGTCGGACGGCTAAGCCTTGCCAACCGTCGAATGGAAAGGTAAAGTTATGTGGCCGGGAGACTCTCGCCGATATCCGATGGGAGCACACAGCATCGAACGGTTAAGCCTCGCCGACCGTAGAATGGAAAAGGTAAAGTTGTCCAGCTGGGAGGCTCTCGCCGACATCCTACGGGAGCTCAATACTCACGGCATCAAACGGGTAAGCCTCTCCGAACGCATGACGGAAAGGAAAAGTTGTGTGGCCAGGAGGCTCTCGCCGGCATCCGACGGGAGATCAATACTCACGGCATCGGATGGGTAAGCCTCACCAGTAGTTGAAAGAACACATATTCACTTAACGGGTAAGGCTCTCGCAGCATCTAATGGGAGTTCAATACTCGCGGCATCGGACGGGTATGCTTCGCCGGTAGTCAGACGGAAAGGCCAAGATTTGCTGACCGGAAGGCTCTTGCGGCGTTCGACAGGAGTTCAATACTCACGGCACGGATGGGTAAGCATCACCGGTAGTTGAAGGAACACATATTCACTCAACTGGGAAGGCTCTTGCAGCATCTGACGGGAGTTCAATACTCACGGCATCAGATGGCTAAGCTTCGCCGGTAGTCTGACGGAAAGGCAAGGTTTGCTCGACCGGGAGGCTCTCGCAGCATCTGATGGGAATTCAATACTCACGCCTTCAGATGGGTGAGCCTCGCCGGTAGTCGACGGAGAAACATATTTGCATACATGCATATTTTGCATATTTGGAATTCAATGCTCAGAACGATTTGAGTTGTCTAAAAGGGTAGATCCTATGAGGATTACTTTGCGTAATTGTTTGATGAATCCAATAAGCTGCTTCTGATAACACGTCAGAAAATCTTGATGCTGCTTTGCATTTGAAAGTTAAGCACACGACAAAATAGAATTTCCTGTGCCAACGTACCCCAAATAAGTGCCGTGAATCTGGATGGATAGGCATAGCTTTGAAAGCTGAGGTGATGTCGACTTTTGCCAGCCAAGTGCTAAGACCCGTGATTTTATTATATTGATTGCATGATCAATGTCCTACTATTGAGAGGAAATTAGTAAAGGAACCGAGGTGTTTATGCTTGAAAACAGGGAGTTACGTGGAGCTGACAGATCGATTAGAAGGCGTTTCTTACCCCAGAATTTTCCTAGTAGCCACTCCAATGGGCTAATGCGAAACTGAGAAGGCGGGGCATCGAAAAGGCTGATCATGAACGCTCGTTTAATTCACTCCGCCTATAGGGGAAAAGCTGAACAGATTATTTCAGTGAAATGTCTGAACGTAATGAAAATCTCAGAAAAATGGCTTTTGATGTTCACATTCAAGGATTTACGATTGCTGTAGCATTTCTGTCGTAAAGAAATGGCCAAATATTCAAGTTTAAGTGGACATTTGAATTAAATGTTGTTTAGCCATACAAGGATTAGATCGCACAGAGACATGTAGAAACGATTGTCAGGCCATTGGTGCCCTTTGTAGGCTTTTGATATAATGTGTATGTACATTATATTGTTTATAATACATTGTTAAGTTTTGTTCAACAGAACCATGTGGTTACTTGCTTTTGATATTTTATTTGGACCAATTATTATGGCCTCATTGTTATTATGTATATATTTCAGGTAATTTTTAAAGACTATTGTTTAATTAGGCCTATTTTTCTACCATAAATATATATTATAATTATCCGATTAATCATCAGAATAATCAACCGATAACTCGGTTACCCAATTAATCGTTAGTGATTGCCTTAGATGAGGGGTCTATGTCCGCACCTGCCAGGGTCTGTGCTCGGATGTTGTGAGCCACTGGAGGTGGGTCCAAGGCAACAGCATTCGGTGGGATGGGCAGTAATGTTGCTATAAAAGAGAATATTGTGATTTTAAATGAAGTAAAGAGCTGAGGGAGAGGAGCAGAGGCCACAATTGTTGGGGGAGGCAGCCTCACGCTTAATATCGACCTCTTGGGCTTGAGGTGGGAAACTGAGAGAAGCGTAAGAGAAAAAATGGAGGAAAATAAAGACATGTGTTGGTCTGTGATGCGAGCGGAGGCTAGTGTACGGGAACTGGAGGCCACTGAAAAGGAAAAAAGGGGTTATTAGTAGCAGGAGGAAAAAGACCGAGATGTGTGGGCCTGGGTTGCAAGCGGAGGCAGCCTCGCGCCTGCTTCGCCTGCTTTAGCTGTAGGCAGTGGGAAAGGGGAGTGGTTTGTGACATTTGAGGGAAATACTGAAATGCCCGAGTAGCCTGCAGTATTGCTGATTTAGCAATTTGTTGTTAGATTTAGCAATTTCTCAGACTACCCTAGCAACTTGTTTTCCAAAGCACATAGTAACGAATTTACCCATTTAAAAATGTATTTGACAGAGCCAGGACAACTTTTAGCATCTTTAAAAAGTTATTAGATGTTAAAAAGAGAAGAAGAAGAAAGTATTGAAAAGCTAGCCAAGCAGCAAAGTCGGCTAGAGACTTGGAGAGAGGTGCCTAGCAATACTCACGTCACATGTGAATTAGGTTGCTAGTTGCACTTGTTCAATAATAATAGTTTATTTTATGGTAAACCTAGTTGTTAGTTTGTGCCAATAATCGTTAATCATTTTGGTACAAGTTGAACTTATTTTCTCGAAAATCAATCTTTTTCATCCATTTATCTGAGTGAAATGTGTAGTTTAAAATACAGGTAAAAATGTTAGTGAAAATTAATTCAGAAAATCTGAGTATTTTCTTTGTGTATTCTATGCCGTTTGCGTCATGGTTACAAAATGACATCAACATACTTTTGTCACAACGTCGTTTAACAACTTTTAGCAAGAAAATGACCTGCCTTTTAGCGACTTTACCTAAAAATTATTTTGCAACACGGCCTGTGTCGCTAGCGGAAGTGGCCTCGTGCTAGAGTCTGCTACAAGAGCTGGAGGCCCGGCTGCAGACGACGCTGCGACCAGAAGTGCCGCGGAGAAAGGTTGAGCCGAAGCAGGAAGCAAGTGAGGCTTTGCTGCGGTGAGATCTGGGGCGCGGCCCAGGCTCGTTGAAGGCCTGCCGCTGCGACCCAGCGCTTAAGGAGAGCCAGGTCTTGTGTGGGGCACTGGTGGTTTCGAGTGAGGCGAGTTCGGGGCCTTGCGAACTTTGCTCGAAATATTGGCCGCTCTGCTGGAGTAGATTTAGGAGTGAGGTTGGCTGATTGCTGGGAGACGAATAATTTAGATCGTACAGATCCGCTTTGTTTACCCTTCGCGAGGACGGTGCATCGGAATTAATCAGCATTTGACTCAGGCTTAAATGCGGTCCACTTTCCGATTGGAGGAATTGTAGGCACAGCCGAAAGATAAGAGGATGCCAGGGGGGAAAAAATGGAAGTGATGCCGGTAGAGGCGAGGTTAAGCCTCGGCGTCGTGGAGAGCGTGTGGCTGGTTGAGCAGAGAGCAGTGGTCGCGATGAAGCCTGGAGCTTGGCGGCGGTGTCTGGCTGAGAAGAAGCGATCCTGGGGCCGGCAGATTGGCCGGAGAACCGAAAAATCCCCAGTATAGGTCTCGTCGTTTAGATGGGAGAAGCTGAGTCTGAGATATAATGACAAAAGGTGCAAACCGAATGCTGATAAACCGTCAATGGATAGAGGTAAGTCAGCTGTATTTATATCATGGTGTTGAGTAACTTGAGTGCGCTCCACCTGTGTTAATTAGGCTAAGTATCTGACACGCTCCTCCCGAACCTTGCTAATAAAACATCATTCAATGTCCTCTGCGATATCATCAATTCTCTGTGTGACAGTGGTTGCTGAAAGAGGAATCTGGCCTATCTTGTTAGCTGCAGCTTCACCAAACATCACCAAAATCAGTTCTTCCCCAATGGTGAAGGGCTTCTTAGCTTTAGCGATACGGTCAGCCACCAAGTAGGATGCTCTCAGTGCAGCTATATTTGTAGATGTGGTCGCTTTTAACAGTTGCTGTTGCCCCATTTGTTCACGTTTTTTCCGTTCAAAATAATCCAACGGTTTGTCTCTCAGTGCTGGGTGTTTAGTTTCAAGATGCCGTAGCAGTTTTGAGGGCTTCATTGACTCATTAGATAATTTTTCTCCACAAATTATACACAAGGGGTTTGGAGCATGTGAACTGCCAGTAGAGACAAAACCGTATTTTAGATAGCAATCATCATATTTTCGGTTAAAGGCGGCTTTCTTTTACCCCTTTTTTTTCGTTTTTCGTCTCTTCATTGTCATTATCATTTTTTCTTTTCTTACCTCCTCCACTTAAGAACCTTTCGAGAGATGTTTGTTTCCCACTCATTTTAATATTAGCTGAACCTTAAAGTGTGGAACTGACGTTTTTCTGAAATAGCGCCCCAATGTAAATTTGGATATTGGCTCTTAAAGGGGAAACGAACAATAAATAATAGAGTGTCATTTTGCGTTCTCGCGGCCCGGTAGCAACTCTTTCACGGCCCAGCACTGGGTTGCGACCTGGTGGTTGGGGACCTCTGCCCTAGGGGACGCAGTGTCTCGGTCCCTCTCAGGGAACGTCTTGGTTATGTACGTAACCCTCGTTCCCTGATGGAGGGAACAGAGACATTATGTCATGACGACATTAGGGGTCTAACTTAGGAGCCCAATCATCTCTGAGTTTAAGAGAATACGACAATGAAAGTTGGCTAGTGGATTATGCACACTGAGCCACTCCCCGTGCATACGGGTATATAAGGTGATAACGCGCGTCCACTCATTAGGTTTTACGCTGAGGAGCCGAGAACATGTCCCAGCAACAGCGAGTGATTCAAAGTTGTGGCATGGGGACATAACATCTCCGTTCCCTCCAACAGGGGACGAGGGTTATGTATGTAACCAAGACGTTCCCTATCTGTCGGTCACTACGAGTTATATCGTGACAACATTAGGAGTCTATGGAAAACGCCACAACCTGAACACCTTCACAACCCTGTGGTGCTGCAAATGTTGACAAGCCATAGCGTGTCAACACAAAAGCTATGCTAAGTTCATAAACTTTCCAAAGCCCCAGCGCAAATTCATTGACCTTGGTACTGAAGTGGACCAACAGTTAGTACAATGCTGCTGGAGAAGGCCATGCTGCTATTCCATCCACAAAAAAGTTTTTGGAAGGGCTTTCAACCTTCAGTGAAGATTGCTTCAAATCCTCCCTATTTGTTCTTTCAGCCTGGCAGAACGATGGGGAAGCGAGCCTTAAGGAAAAGGTCACTAGGGAGACCACATCCTACCCGTAGGGAGGTGACAAGTGGAGATACTGATATGGACTGACCCAGGGGTCAGTACTACATATGGAAAGGGTCTCTGAGGCAGGTCCTACCTTAGAGTAGGGATGGAACAACCGCCAGAAAAGACTGAAAGAGCAAGTCTGTCAAGGGAAGACATGGGCTTACCGAGAGGGAAACCTTACCATGGAAGAATACACATATGGGATTACCTCTAGGGAATCAAGCCATATGGACACCTAGCCCAGTACAGGGGCTGACCAGGACTCCGGGCATGCTAACACTAGTACTGGGGCTGCTGGAGGATGCTCGACCAGGATTCGCCAACCGGGGAACTCTACTGGGAGAAGAAAGACGCTCGCATCCCCTTGTGAGGGGAAATAATGCAGCAAGCATGACACCGAGCCAGTTCTTCCTGCCAATTACCTGTCACCCAACACACGGGAAGAAACCGGCTCTACATGAAGGTTGTAAAACCTCGAGAAGGTGTTAGCCCGCAGTTCAACAGATGTCACCAGAGAGGCACCGTGTGCCAGCACCCAGGAGGATGCAACAGTCCGAGTGGAGTGGGCTCTCACCCCCAGGGGGCACAGTTCGCCTTGGTGTACCATTCCCTATCCAATGGGCCAACCTCTGCTTGGAGACAGCCTTTTCTTTTCTGCTGACCTCCAAAGCAGACAAGGAGCTGCTCAGAGCTTCTGAAGTTCTGGCTGCAGTCCATGTATATGTGTAATGCTCTTACGGGAAACAGCAACGCCAAAGCTGGATCTGCCTCCTCCGTGGGGCAGCACTTGCAGGTTCACCACCTGGTCTCGGAAAGGAGTGGTGGGAACTTTGGGCACGTATCCAGACTCAGGACAACGTGACAAGCACAGCACAACACAACACAAGGCACTCTTCACTTACCGAAAATGCTTGGAGGTCCCCGACCCTCTTGATGGAAGTGAGCGCGATCAGGAGTGCTGTCTTAAGAGACCGGAACTTCAGCTCAACTGAATCGAGCGGCTCAAAGGGACCTCTCTGAAGTCTGGCCAGAACACCAGAGAGATCGCAGGAGGGTATCTGGGGTGTCCTAGGAGGATTTAACCTTCTGGCACCCCTCAGGATCCTAACGATCAGGTCATGCTTTCCCAAGGACCGGCTGTCCACTGCATCATGATGTGCTGCGATAGCAGCAACATACACTTTCAAGGTGGAGGGTGATAGCCTATGCTCCAACCTTTCTTGAAGGAAAGAAAGCACGACTCTAATCGAGCATCTCTGGGGCTCTTCTCCGTGAGAATAACACCAATTCGTGAACAGATTCCACTTCAAAGCGTAGGCTTGCCTCATAGAGGGAGCTCTAGCTTGAGCGATAGTGGCTACCACTCCTGGTGGCAGATCACTTAGGTCTGCCGCGTCCTGTCCAGGAGCCACACGTGGAGGTTCCAGAGATCTGGACTCAGGTGCCATATGGTGCCCAGCTCCTGAGGGTCCTTCCTCAGGGGGATGCGCCAGGCAGGGGCTTTCACAAGGAGCATGAGTTACGAAAACCAGATCCGGGTGGGCCAGTAAGGCGCAACCAGCAGGACCTGTTCCTGTTCCTCTTCCTCCCTGACCTTGCACAGTGTGTGTGTGAGAAGGCTCACTGGAGGAAATGCATACTTGCATAGAGCCCGGGGCCAGCTGTGTGCCAGTGCATCCATGCCCAGGGGCCCTGGGTCAGGAAACAGTACAGCTGGCAGTGGGAGGACTCGTGGGAAGCAAACAGGTCGATTGAGCTTCCCCGAAACGACTCCAATCAGCTGGACCACCTGGGGATGGAGTCGCCATTCTCCGGGAAAAGTAAGCTGTCGTGAGAGTGCGTCGGCTGCACGATTGAGCTCCCCGGGATGGGGACGGTGCGAAGCGACTTGAGCTGCATCTGACTCCAGAGCAAGAGATTGCGGGCTAGTTGTAACATGCGATGTGATCGTAGACCGCCTTGTCGGTTGATGTAAAAAACAGCCGCAGTGTTGTCTGTGCGGACCAACACATGCTTGTCCAGCAGCAGCAGCCGGAACTGCCGCAAGGCTAGATGCACTACCAGCAACTCCAGACAGTTGATGTGCCAAAGCAGTCGAGGTCCTGTCCAGGACCCTGAGGCTGCCTGCCCGTTGCACGTAGTGCCCCAGCCCATATTAGCGGTATCTGTCATGACAACAACATGCCGGGACACTTGTTCTAAGGGCACCCTGGCCCGTAGAAAGCAAGGTCCGTCTAGGGGCTGAATAAGCTGCGACACATCGGTGTGACAGTGACACAATGTGTACCATGGCGCCATGCCCATCTCAGGACTCGGGAGTGTAACCAGTGCTAAAGTGGTCTCATATGAAGCAATCCAAGCAGCGTGAATGCAGCTGCAAATGCCACAGGAGCCTTTGAAAGTGTTTCAGTGGTGCCACTGTCCTGCCTCTGAAGGAACTCAGGCAGCTCAGCACTGACTGGGCATGCTAGTTGGTGAGACGCGTCGTCATACTCACCGAGTCTAACTCCATACCGAGAAAAGAGATTCTCTGCATGTGGGAGAGCTTGCGCTTGTCTCGGTTAACCTGAAGCCCCAACTGACTGAGGTGCCGGAGCACCAGGTTCCTGTGATCGCACAACTCTTCTCGCAACTGGAACATGATGAGCCAGTCGTAGAGTTGAGGATCCTGATGCCCACTTCCCATAGTGGGGCAAGGGCACCCTCCGCGACTTTCGTAAAGACACAGGGGGACAGGAAGAGCCCGAAGGGGAGGACCTTGTATTACCATGCCCGACCCTCGAACGCAAACTGCAGGAACGGTCTGTGTCGAGGAAGGATCGAGACATGAAAGTACGCGTCCTTCAGGTCGATCGCTGCAAACCAATCGTTTGTCATAATTGCATCTTTATATCTCACAACCGCAACATTATTTGGCAAAATTGCGACTTTACATTTCATGGTATGACTTTATTTCTTATTTTAATCCTGTTGTAATTTTTGTACTTTTGGGCAGAAATGTGCTTCCATACATGATCTTGCCTATATAAGCAAATTTAAATTCTCATCATCCTCCTAATATAATGGACAGTTTCAGAGCACACTAATATATATTATCATATATCATATTATCAGCTCATAATTTCGACTTTACATTTCATGGTATGACTATTTCTTATTTTAATCCTGTTGTAATTTTTGTACTTTTGGGCAGAAATGTGCTTCCATACATGATCTTGCCTATATAAGCAAATTTAAATTCTCATCATTCTCCTAATATAATGGACAGTTTCAGAGCACACTAATATATATTATCATATATCATATTATCAGCTCATAATTTAATTTGCAATAAGTTAAATACTTTTAAAGTTATCTCGTGTTACACTCAGTAACTATGCTTTTTGGGGTTGTCCTCTGGTTGTTTTTATGTTTTCATGACAGTATTGCCCCAAAAAATAAATAAATAATGTTCCTGTTCCTGATGCTATTGTGCATTTTAAAAATACTCATTGATTTTTTACATACAGTTTGATGTCATGATATAGCCTGTCCTTAATAATTGTGTAATATGCCTAGTGTTTGAGGATGTTGTGCACTGTACAGTACTGTTACAATTATCACAGACCCCTGTTACAATTACACAGAATGTCAGTGATTTGTGTATTTCTATTTTAGTTGTGTTCAACTTGATTAAGTTAAAAATTTACTTAAAAATGACATATCAAAGTTGTGAATTTCAAAGCTTTAGT